AACACCCAGGTGCACCACATGCTAGCTTGTCTTAACTTGGAACACAGGCTTCTGAGTACAACTCAGTGGGAGAGAGTTTACCTAGTGGGAATGGGGCCCTGGGTTCAATGCCTAGCACTGAAAAAAAAATGAGAAGAGAGAGAGGAGAGAGAGAGAGAGAGACTCTTTACATCTTCCTCAACTCCACACTGATTTCTTATACATGGCCTCAATTCTGCCACAAGTGACTCTATTCCAAGTTGTGTAACATTCCCAGGCTATGAGGCCTGTTGTGCAAAAAGCAGCGGTGTCCCTGAGAGCTCCTTTAAGGGCAATAAGCGAAGGATTAGCAGTGATATCAAGAGGATAATAGGAAAGAAGGAAAGTATAAGTGTAAGTAATCTGGTTTATGTCACCTCCACCCTCTCTTAGGCCTTCTCAAGTGTCTTCAACACCAGCTTCTGTCTCTTAGCATGACATTCCTGGATGATTGAATCACACTGACCTATAAGCTCTCAAACTGTACTTCTCTCATGATTTCCCTTGACTACTACCCCTACTCTTTCTGTCCTCTCCCAGTGCTTACCAGACATCATTCCTGAAAGTCTAGAGGTAGGACAAAGCGTTTGGTGACTGAAGCAGTGAAAAACCTCTGTCCATGCAATTGGACAAAGTCATCAGTTAAGTTCTCACCAGAGACAAAGCCACAAAATGGTGAATATCTGCTTAGTAGCCATGTATCCCAGGATGTGTGTGTGTGTGTGTGTGTGTGTGTGTGTGTTTAAGAGATAGTGGGCCCCTTCTGCATCTGATAAGGCCAGAGAGCTACAAAAGAACTCAGGGAGATAGACTATACCAGAAGTCATAATTCTGTTTCAAAATACTCTACCAGTAAGAATCCTGAATGTGATTATAGAGTTTGCAAATGATTGGGGTTAGGACTGGCACATAGACCTACGTATCCACCCCAATCTCTCATCTCCCAGCGTCAGTCCAGCTCTGTGCCTGTGGAATCTGAATAAAGATCTAGTTTCCATTTAGATCTTCCATTGCACTTTGTTCTAGATAGGTGGCCTTTGGGAGAGAGGGGAGTGTATGAATTCCATTCATTTATTTACTCATGCATCCATTTAACCAGTATTTCTGTAATAATGGAAAAGGGACCATGTTTGTCCTGCAGATACTGACAGCAGACAAAGTTTTTGCATTTATTGTATTGAGTGAAACAGAAAACAAATAATTATGTAGTGTAACATAATACATAATACAGTGTAGTGATGAGAGTTTTTTTATGGGAATGTGATGAAAGTGGTGAACCTTTTCTGAAGGAGAAGGAGGAGGAGAAAGAAAAGGACAAAGAAGAGAAAAGAAGAAGAAGAAGGAGGAGGAGGGAGTGAGAGAGAGAGAGAGAGAGGAGAGATCAGATCCAATGTTCACTGTTGCTTATAATTTCTAGGTCATCTACCTTTAGAGTCTCATTTCCAGGGCTCCTGTCTTATAAAGGTCCTCAAGCCTGCAAAATATCTGATTTAGTAGGGCTTATATAAAGTCTGAGAGTGTTTTTAAAAGTTCCACTGGTAATTCTGCTGTACAAATGGAATTAAGATCCATTTTATCCTCATCATAAAAAGAGAAAGAAATGAACATGAAATGTAAATGAAAATTCCGATAAAGGAAGATATGAACACATCTACCAGACACCAGGACACAGGCCTGCACTGAGTACCTCAGAATTTGGACACCATTGACCTCTGCTATAAGGCTGTCCAGCCTGGGGATCCAAAGTCCAATGTACTACTGGGGCCATGTTTATTCAATTAGGCCAATCTTTGCTTGCAGCAATCCTCCTCCTGCCTTTTTAAAAAAACTAATGATGAAAACCTTTAAATCAAAATTAAGTTATCATCTTCTCTTGGAAATTCTGAAATAAAGTCCTGAGTGAGGTGTAAGCCCTAAGGGAGAAGTGCAGAATTTTTAGTGTAATCTCATAAACCAAGACTTTGTTCATCCTTGTTTTTTAAAATATGTATTAAAAAAGTATTGAGATGCAGATTATGTATTAGTATGTCAATATGTTTTTCAAATACACATCATGTAATTTGTGTCCTACCTCATCCCTCCTGCTCCTTTTCTGAATATAGTATTTTCCACCTTACAACTAAGATTATGCACTTCTCTGTTCTATGATTTTACTATGGTGATTTCTAGGTAGAAGAATAAATAGATTGGAAAAGAAAGAGGGAATTTGAACAGCAGGGAGGTTTATATAAAGAGAAAAACATTTTATTTCATTCCCTACTGAATCCCCATTAGGATGCCAGTAAAAGGATTTTTTAAGGCACAAACCCACATAAATGGGGAAAATTGGAAAGTAGAAAACAACACTAAAATTGGAAACCCACAAAGCAACTAGATAAGGGGTAATTTACTTAGCAGACCCAAGAAAATGGAGAAAAAAAATTGCATCCTAAGCCAACAGTACAGAATGTGGGAAATCAACCCGATTTGAAGCCAGAATCCCCATAAGGCTTGAGAATTGGCAGCATTAGGCACGTTGAAAAGTGGAGGTGAGGGTGAGGGGCACTAAAACCAGGAGAATTGGTTGAAGGTCTGTTTATGAAGCAGATACCTTTCTGTGTTCCTTTTCCAAGTCCATGTGACCAGATGATTACCTCTCCCCCATTCTGAAAAAGGATGAGAGAAGGCAATGCCAAGCATCTTTGGCCTGGGAGAGGCAAGGACTGCTGAGGAAAAGGGATGCTGGAATCCCCTGGGACCATCTCCCTCATTCCTAGAGGTCTGGGGGCCAAAGCTTCATTCTCTAGGCAGGATCTTGGTAGTATACTACAAAAGAAAAACTTAATGACCTTGACACTGGAGTTCCAGACACATCAAGATGACATTTGCAATTGACATGTTTGCCTCCATCCTAGAGCTTCCAGTATGATTCTTTGACTCCTGAACTTAAACAAAAACACATCCCTTCCTAAACTGGAGATAACGATTTTCCTATTTCATTGAATTAAATGAAATGATCTTTGTAAAGTGCTTAAAACAATGTCTGGCATGTAGTAGGATTTATGTAAGTTTTTGTTATAGATAGTCAAATAGACAAAGAATTACCACCCATCTAAAGAAATCTAATATCACTAGAGACCAAAACAAATAGAAAATAGAGCTGTTTAGACACTACTATTTAGAATAAGGAACAATACCCCCTCAAACCTATTTTTATAAATATAGCTATATAAAATTATTTACATAGAAATATATATTATATTTAAATATATATGTATATATGCATAAACACATACACAGAGTTCTTAGAAATTGAAAATATAAGAGTAAGTCTGAAGAACTTTTAAGTTACAATTGAGGAAATCTTCCAGAAAGCAAAGCAAAAAATAAAAAAGTTTAAAAATTGGACAAAAAAGAGATTAAACTAGTCCAGGAATTCTGATAATGAAGCATAGAACTTCAGAAAGTAGAAGAAAAAATAAAGGAGAAGTCAAATAAATCATCCAACAAAATTTCCCAAACCTGAGACATTTTCTGGCATGGAAAGGCCATGAGTGGCCTAATGGACCCACACAGAGGTACACAATTAGAAAATTTGAAACACTGGCTTCAAATAGATCCTACCATTTTCAAAAACAAGGGGAAGAAATCAGGTGCAAAATGCTTAAGCCTCAGGAGGGCAAGAGATTGCTGAGCAGCAACACTGGGAGCAAGAAGGCCAGGTCTTCAGAATTCTAGAGGGCAACTGTTTCCAAGCAACAATTCTAGGCCCAGCTAAACAACCAATTAAGACATTCTCATATAATCAAAATTCTGAAAAATCTATTGCCCATACACAATTTTCTGGAAGAATGTACTCCACCAAAATAAGGGAAGACAAATCTGCATGCACCAACTCAAATGATGGGTGGGCATCAAGGGTCAGGAGGAGGACAAGCTTGTTGTGGAAATGAGTCAGTGCATGCCTAGTAGGGCAGGAGACCCTGGGAGAGGTTTCTTCACAAAGACTAAATCAGTAGAGAAGCTGACACATGTGATCCTCTTAAGTAGACAGACAACTGGCAAAGAAATTGGAGTTGAATTAGGGAAACATGGACAATTACACAAACAAGATTTTTACTCTAGTGAAAACAAAAGACACAGGAAAGTAAAAATCCTCACCATTTAGTGCATAGATCAGTTACAGAAAGCATGAATCAAAGTAAACATAGATCTGCTCTAAATACAGTGTTACTGGACAGGGAAAGAAGGGTTGGGACAACATGAAAGAAAGATTGATGAGTGTTATCATCCATAAGACGAAGTTACTTAAGGCTAACAGGGACATAGCAAAAAGCACAACACAGGGGTGTTATCCAGGGACATAAACATAAATACCAAAATAATCAGCTGAGAGAGTAAAACTTACTGTTTCTGGCAAGAGAGAAATTTGAGGTAGTGAACAATGAGCATCTAGTCTTTTTTATAACAAAACTAGAAATATTTGGTTTTATACACAAATATAGTGTACATGTATAATTTGAATAGAAATATAAAGTTTAAAAAAGTTTTTAAAAGTATCAAATAGGTTCTTTTCCTATTCCTTCTGTCATATAGAGTGGAACAGCTCTCAAAACACCTAGGTCAGCTTTGTTGCACCATCTTTGCTGTCATTTGTTTGTTTGTTTTGTTTGCACGAACTGAAGCCAAAATCCTCCGTGTGACCCTTCACGCCCTCCCACAGGCAATTACAAAGAATTTACCAAGCAGCTTCAAAGATACATCTGTCCTGGCTGGGCCAGACTTGGTGCAGGTATGGAGGGAATGGTAGTCAAGGATTCAGTCCAAATTTTGGAGGTAGAAAACTGTTGCTTTTCTTGTAAAATTCTGAGATATTGTCAATGCCTTCCTTCCTATTTTGTTTTTACCCCCCCTATATTTGATCTCTGAGGCATCCCTGCCTGTCTCTGATAAAATTGTGTCCCTGGACATGGAAAGTGCTTACCTCTTGCTCTCTCCCTTACCTTTTTGGAGCCTCAATGTCTACAGCCAGAAAGTGAATGAACTGGACTAGAGCATGCCCAAAGGTCTTTTGATACTTGGAAAGCTATCAGCAAATACAAGTCCTCTCTTGAATTCCTGCAGCTTTTTTATCACCCCAACCATTGTTACATGTGCTCCCAAAATATTAGTTCTCCTTTTCTTTGTTTTGGTATGTGTGTGTGTGTGTGTGTGTATAAGTGCATTTTATTTAGGCTTGTCTCCTTCAAATATATGAAATGTTCCTGCCCTATTACACTGACTATAGTGCTGAATATATGCATCATGATCAGGGGAAATTTCATAAAAAATAATGATGTAGGTATTTTCTATGGCAGGAAAACAGTTTCTACTGACTCTTGGTTTTGTTCACTTGTATGTCTTTAACACCCAGAGCAGTTCATGGCACACAATATATACTCAGATAAATATTTGTGGGATAATGAGTGAATTCATCTAATAGAATGGCCAGGATATGATTTGGTGGCTAGAAATACCAAAGCATTTTGTAGTCCAAAGAAGCAGCTGTTGTTGCTCACCCCACTGTACCTTGCCCCCAGTTCCCAATAAAGAACTGGAGTAAATAGCAGTTAGGACTCCAAAATCCTCCTCCTCCTTCTGGATAGGATCCTCAAGGCACAGTGCAAATAGTAAAGCCTCTTCACAGAATGGGTTAAGCTAAATATTTGAAGTCTTATAAATTTATGCTGCCAACTACTGCCTGTCTAGCAACTCTTTCCCTAAAATAATATTGCAGAGGTAAGTACAAGGTAAATAAATAAGAACTTTATAGATAATTATTTATAACACAGAAAAATTGGAAACAATCCAAATGTTTAATTATAAGGCACTGGTCACAGGAAAATGTTTACTATATATTGCTTAATTAGAAAAAAAAAGACAAAATGTCAGGTGCCTTTCTTTTGTGATAGGTAGCTATTTATGTGTGTGGCCATATAATTTCATGTAAATACATACATATACATACACCTGTACCTGGAAACACACTGGAGGACACATATAGAATGATTATGGTAAGAGAAAATTAAAGTTTGGTTGTTTTTCTATATTGTGATGATTAATTTTGATTATCAACTTGATTAGATTGAGAAATGCTTGGGAAATTAGTCACGCACACTTCTGGGTGTGTCTGTAGGGTATCTTCAGAGGTGGTTGAATCATGAAGGCTCCAACTTCATCAGTGGATTGACTGACTCATTCATAAGACTGTGATTTGATGGCATTACTGGGAGGTGATCGAAATACGAGGTAAAGACTGATTGGAGAGAGATGATTCTAGGGGACATGACCTTGGGGAATATTATCTGGTCTCTGGCACCTTCCTCTGGTGTGCTCTTGCTCTCTCTGCTTCCCAGGTGCCATGAGATGAGCAGCTTCCCTCTACCATGATATTTGCACCTTGCCAAAGCCCTAAAGCTTTAGAGCCAGCTGACCACTTTGAAACTGTGAGCAAAATAAACCTTTCCTTTTTTAAGTTGTCAATGTCAGGGATTTGGTCATAGCAAGAAAAAACTGACCAATACATATAGTTTTAAAGATTATACTGCTTTTGTTAGGGAAATATATTTTGTTCCTTTAGATAACATCACATGGTAACACTTATCCAAGTTTACATGGACAAAACATAGTTGGATATACTTGATGTTTGTTACCAAACATTCTCATAGACAGCAAGAGCACATACCTTTGCCCCTGTTTTGAGGTAAGTGGAGATTTATTCAGGGCACCTTAACAGCTGAAGTGTGATACTGAATGATGTGCCAGTTAGAGTTTAACTTGTCCATTGGGGGATATTGATGTTAAAAGTGATGGTGTAGAAAACTGAATGAGACCTTAAGAAAAGTGATGGTTTTTAATGGTGAGGGTTCTGGGTGGGAGGGGCTTAGGCAGAGAGAAGAAGAGCAAACTGAAGACCCGAGCTAAGCAGAGCCAGACACATCATTAAACATGTACCGCAAGTGCTCCATTCTATGGCGGTGCTCTGAGAGGTATTAGAGACGCAAAAGACATTTTATAGTCTAATTTGAAAGATAAGCCTACACTTATAAAGCCATTAAAGACAATGGCAAGACTGGATTGTTTATAATTAGTGCTAAACAGTGAGATTCAGATGAGTGCTCTGATAATAGTTTAGATTTAAAATATTTTAAGATGCTTTGGATATATATATGTGTATATATATATATATACATATATATATAAAATCCAAATATATTTTTAAACAGAATTTCATTAAGAATTCAAATAGGCTAAAAATAAGCAAAGATTCAACATTGAATAAGATTACAAATTTGAGAGTCTATAAATTTTCCAGTCAGCTCTCTGCATCTACAGATTCTACTTCTGCTGATTCAACCAATCTATGTTGAAAATAGTTGAATAAAGGGGAATAAGGAATAAGAGTACAACAATAAAAGTTATGCAGATAAAAATACAATATAGCTTTTTACATAGCATTTACATTGTATTTAGTTGTTTTTGGTTTCTTATTTTTGGTACTGGGAATTGAACTCGGGTCCTTGCACTTGCTAGACAGGCAGCATAACCCCTGAGCTAAATCCCTGGCCCATTGTATTTAGTATTACACATAATGTAGGGATGATTTAAAGTGTATGGGAGGATATGGGTAGATTATAGGCAAATACTGGTGCACCATTATGTGAGAGATTTATCCACAGATTTTGGTATCTGTGGGGTATCCTGGAACTCATCTTCCCCAATCCCAACTGAATATGTAACTTCTTGGTAAGGATCTTCAGGAGTTCAGCATCAGGAAGCGAAAGACATGGCTGCTTAATCTGTAAGATCAGCAGACAGTGGTGCTAAGGCCCCTTTTCTGCCAAGAAAGGCCTGATGGACAGGAAAGATCTATGAGGCTTGGGGCCTCAGGGCACAGAGGCAGTTAATGGATTTCCTGGGGGAGGAATGGAGGGAACCTAGAGTTTTAAGGAGATTGAATGTGACAACAACTGATATGTGACAGTAAGGGCAGAAGGCTGGAAGGCGCTGCATAGTCTGGGGCTTTGTACCTGGCAATGGTGCTGGTGGCACAATCATGCTGTTCTACTATCCCTCCCTGTCTCCAGACTGCTATAAACCCAACCCAACAACACAACTGTCATTTGCTTGAGAATTAGAGCATATAGAATTAGAATCTTCCCCCCATGATACCAAAATAACACTCCTTCATGAGATAATTTACCAAATACAGAGTCAAAGGAAGAAATAAAATTACCTGTAATTTTCCTTCAGCTACAGTTGCCAGATTTAGCAAAAAATAAAAAAGTGCAACATTTAGGATGAATATGCATTAAAGCAGTGTTCATTGCTTATGTGTTGTTCAAACCTAAGTGCATGGCCAGTGTGCAGTCTGGCAGTCCTACCCTCAGGAGTACCCTGGGAACTGGCTTCATGCAGCCTACACGTCTGGATCTCCTTCAGCTCTTGGTTCTCCTCCTTTACCACATTGGATTTTGTGCCTCCAACCAAATTTATCTAAATCCTCACAAAAATTCTGAGCTTTTCAATGCTATGCTTCTCTCAGAAGAATCTCCACTTCACACTCAGCCTTCCCTGAGGTTGTTAGCAGCATCCCCCATCTCTGAGAAGGTCTGAGTTTGTCCTGGCACCCAAGAAAGAGGAGTTAGTGCATCTGCAACAGCACCAGAAATTCCCTGCTTCCAGGTCTACCTGATGCTGCCTGATGCCAGCTGGGTCAACACCAACACCCTGCACAGAAGGTGATGCCCTCACCCCTCAGCCAGATGGCTGGCCCATCTCTCTCCCAGTGGGCCACAACCTCCAACATGTAGCCAGACTGGTTCCCAAATCTGTGACTGTCAACCTGAGCATTCTGCACACTACCAGCCACGAGGACAGACGAAAGACCCAGGCTGAGCCTACCTTTGTGTCTGCATGCTGTGTATCCAATCCCCAGTCCAGTCCCTGGGCTGGGCTGCTATAGTTCCATCCCTTTGGTCCACTCTTCTCATTTCTCTACTTTCTCTAGGCTCCAAAAAATGTCCTTTACCTCGAGCTTCATGGCAACCTTCCTCAGCCTCTCTCTTCTGAAACCCAAGGCCCTCCATTGTTCCCCACACTGTTCCCCTTAGGTATATGGAGCACTCGAAGCAAAGCCCTGTTTAGGAGGGAGCTGTATAAGGTTAATGGCCTATTCCATTGGTGAGGTGGGGGTGGGGCAGAGATGAGGATGAGGGACAAAGGAGGAGGAGATACTAGATGGGTTATCGTCTTCTTTTTCCTTTCTTCTACGTGAGCCAAATTATTTACTTTACTTTTAAAAAAATAGGATGTGGGACATTCCAATTCCTTGTCACATCACTGCCTATAACCTCTGACTACATCCTGCATGTCACTACAGGGCTCTGCATCTCCCATATATTGAAGAAGGTGTTGCTTTATTTTGTTTTGCTCTTTGAAATGAATAGATGTGCTCTAGGGAAATTTACTTCAGAATACTATATCCTTTTTCCAATTTTAGCAAAGACAGGCAAACATTGCTGAAAATCCAGTTAATCAATAGGGCTAGAAAAAGAAACCTGCCTAGGGTCATTCCTAAAGCATTCCCTGTCAATTCTGCCTTCAAGATATTGACACAAGTGGCTTAGTGAATCCGAGCCTTTTCCTGGCTGAATTTTCTGGGTGATCACTAAAATAATTACCTGATTTCATGGGAACATGCTATTAACCCCAATCCCAAATTTGAATAATGAAGATGCTGGGCCCTGGAGAAAGTATTCTTAAATGTAATCCTTTAACTGTGCTTAATCTACAGCCCCACCTCACTTGACTACTGAAGTGGGAAAGTCAGTCATTGCTGCTCACTGGTCAACTTGAAGCAAAAAGTACTTGGAGGCCTCCTCCCAGACGAGAACTGGGAGTAGGGAGTTCAAAGTAATCCTGGAGTGCTAGCACTATCATTGCCAACACCAAAACTAAGATAAGCAAGAACCAAAATACATTTGGAACAAATAATTTCCTTCTATGACTTTTTT